TGCTGGGGAGAATGACAAACTACTTCAGTGGAGCCTAATTCTTCAGCAATATGATTTCACCATACAGCATAAGAAGGGCAGCACCCACGGCAATGCTGATGGGTTATCAAGACAGGTCGAGCCAGCAGAATACGGTTGCGTCAGGAAGGAAATTGCAGTCCCCTTCCATGCAACCACCTGAGGGGGGAGGTGTAGCAATTGGGCATACAGAGATGGATGGGAACCTCCATTTTGGCAAAGGATCGTCCATCTTGTATAATTATCTCTCTCTCCCTCTTTTCCCACCCCCCCTCCCTCTCTGTTGAGTGACATGTGGTCGGTGTGTGTTTGAAGATATCACAGGCAGCAAACTCAGTGGGAGGGCGTCCTGGCTATAAAACCTCACTAGCTACAGTAGGTGCCTCTATGTCTAAAACTTTTGCTTGGAAAGATATCGTAAAAGCATAAACCAAGCCCTTCACGGGAGTTCAAAGACATTCCAGAGAAGGCATAAAACAAGACACCACATCCAACATCCATTTTCCCCTATGACTTCATATCTTGAAATATGAGAGACTTACATAAAAAACAGGCATATCTTCAGATTGGTCACGTTAATACAAATCGTTTGGTATATTACATTCCCTAGCTGAGATCAACAGAAGAGCAGAAAATAAAATCTCCTTAACCATCCCAGCAGGTATGTCACATTTCATATGTAGACCTTCGGCAGACGATTCTGCATGTTAATCTACCCGTGGGTGGAATGTTACATGTACCTAGGAAAAGTTATGGACCAAAATATAAGCTATGAGAGTTTCTGGTTATAACTTAGGTCTCCACCTACACTTCCCTCCCCAAAAGAGACGATTGGGTTACTGCTCCAGAGTGACACCCTGTGGATTTGCTAGAAAAGCTAGGCTGAGTTGAGCTGTGGGTGTGAGTTGAAGAGTCTCCCTTTAACATCGAAACTAACAGTGGGAGATCAAGCATCCTTTTGGCTCTGAAACCTGGAAGCTGCTTAACCCAGGACATGTGGCAAGAACTTTAACCCTCTAACTTCTCTCTGTTATCTCTTTGCTGTGCTATTGTTCCCTGTATATATATATATATATATATATATATATATATATTGGCTATATCTTTTTCTGTAAATATTTTTTTATTTTTTATTGCACACTTTTGACCTTTTAGTAATAAATCTTACTTTCTGAAAGCGTTGAACTGTTTCTGTCAGGAATCCTGTTGCCGTGCAGCGGTGCGACGGTGACGGATCCCCTCGAGTCAAGGCAGTGCTAGTGCACAGGCACGGGAGCGTGCGGCCACGCATGCGCGGTCGCGTGGAAAACTCGCGCATGCGCAGTAAATGCACACGTCACGTCAGGCGGGCTATTTAAACCTACTTAGTAGTAAAATCATTGCCTTCTGGTCTACAACGTTCCTGCATATATTCCTGATCCTGATACCTGTATTCTGCATTACCTGACTAAGAAAGAACTCCGCCTGCACTGACCCCGGCTATCCCTGACCATTCGCTTGCCTGCTCCTTTTGTACTTTATCTGCCCACTTGATACTGACCCGGCTTGTCTGACTCTGCTATATTATCCTACCTACACCTGCACCTGACCTGCATCTTGTCGGCTACCATACTCACCTGCCGCTGCACCCACGGTTCTGCATCGGGTCTGCATCCAGATCACCACCATACCTGTCTGCCACTGCATCCACGCAGCGGTGCCTGGTCCCAAATCCGCATCCTGATTGCCGCCACACCTGCTTGCTGTTGCACCTACGTTCCTGCACCTGCACCTGGCGTGTGTCTGGATCTCCTGGGTCCCCAGCTACCTGCCGTCAGCTTCAAGATCTACATGGCACTCCTGCCACTCCTGGCTCTGTGCCTCTGTTCCCACTTTCAGGGGCTCCGAGCGGGAGTTGTAAGAGGATGCCCTCTCTCCACGTCAGGCTCGTGACAGTTTCTAACGCTCTTTAATGCAAATTACAAATTCCTGCCGCTGAAGAGCACTACTGTGTGGGTGTTAAACCCTCTGTATAACCTGCCTGCGGTGACAGTGGTATACAGACGATTATCTAACCATCATAGTGTTATTGCTGATATTGCTGAGTTTCCTCTTTCTCTGTACAAAAAGGAGGTGGTGGCAGTGTGTAGGGTTAATTGCGTAATTAACCTGACCCAGTAACAATCGCTCCCAGGCTGCCGGTACACAGATTGTAGTCCATTAGCTGGAAAATCTTTGTGCAGGGTGCAGCTGGGCATGGCATTGTTACGCACGTGACATCGCTGTTTTAGATTGGCTAGTCCTTCGGTCAGGAGTTTGGTGAGAAGGGCTGGGGTCTGACGCCACGATCGTCACATTAACCACTTCAAGTCCGGACACTTTCACCCCCTTCCTGTCCAGGCCAATTTTCAGCTTTCAGTGCTATCACACTTGAATGACAATTGCACAGTCATGCAACAATGTACCCATGTGAATTTTTCAGCATTTATTTGAGACAGATAAAACTTTATTTTAGTGGTATTTATTTACCACTGGGATTTTTATTTTTTTACTGTATAGTATAAATGAAAAAGTTCAAACAATTTGAAAAAAAAGTGTTTTTTTAATAAAATTTTGCAAATAAATAATCTTTATTCATTAATCTTGGCCAAAATGTATTCAGCTATCTTTTTAGTAAAAAAAAATAACCCAAACTAGTTTATAAACAAAAATTATAATTATTCAAACTTTTTTTTACATTTTTTTTTTTTTTTTTATATTATTATTTATGTTTTTTTTAACATACTGTCACCCTAGCAGTACAGTGTCACCATAATGATACTGTACTACTTGTGGGGGGTGATTTTTTTTTTTTTTTCACACTGATTGATTTTTACACCCATAAAGACTGTAAAAGCAATAATTTCTCCTTCTCTCTGGCTGCATTCTTGCAGCCATTGAGAAATACTGTGAGAGCTGTGATTGATCACAGCTCGTTACATGGTACAAGGCTGTTGTGACTAGCCTTGTACCATGTGACCTCTGTGATCATTCACAGATTTCACTAGTAGTAAGCAATCGTGCTTACTACTATTCATGTGATTGGGACCTCACACAGAGGTTACTACTATTGCTTACTACTATTCACATGATTGGGACCTCACACAGAGGTCCCATACAGCGATCGGTGTTCCGCTGTGTCCTCCGGACACACGACATGCTATTAGGGTGATGAGGGATGCGCCTCCTTGGCACTTATCTAATACACCACTCTTTAACTTGTTCTTTACTGCCGAAACCTCTAGGGTTTTACCCCCAATTGTTATTCCATGCTTTTGACTGAATATGTAAAGAAGTACCCCGTAAACGTGTTGGCATTGTCGGAGAGAGACCTGGACCTCATGTCAGGTGATCAATGGGAGGAGGCCTACTACTTACTCTCTTAATGTGTCTCAAAAATTGTCACAACTATATATTCTACTCAGAGTGCATTATACTCCATTGCGTCTGCATAGAATGGGTATTCAGCCATATCCCCTAAATGCCATGTCAATCTTGTGCACCTACTCTGGTGTTGCCCTAAACTTCATCTGTACTGGAAGGAAGTGGTGGACACCATTAACATGGTGTTCCAAGCTAAGCTTCCACTAGACCCTAAATGTTGTTTGTTGAATATATTGTAGGATGTAGAACCTAGAGAATTTGTAGGTGAAGCTATCTCCAGAGCATTGTTCATAGCACGCAAAATACTTTTGATTCACTGGAAATCTGTAAGTCCTCCCTCCCTGCGGGAATAGATTTGCTCTCAGGACAATTCCCTGAGATTAGAACATATACAGTATATACCAACATAGGGGAAGCCCTGCCAAATTTGAGAAGCTCTGGGCTCCTTGGCTGGATACCTTGGACTAAGTCTTTTGGAGCTGGTCCACATCCGGCTCCTATGGGCCTTTTAGACAGACACTTCTGTATAAGACTGCTTTCTTTGTATGTGTATCGTATAATGGATACAGTACTTATGGGAAGCAGCCTCACTGTCCAAATGCTTTAACTCTGTATTTCTTTTTCATGGCTTGGGAACTCTATTGTATGTTTTGGGTGCTCAGTTGTACTAAACTCCTGTAATAATCTTCTTTTGTTTGGGTTCAAATAAAGCCTCTTTTGATATAAAAAAAACCCTTATGATAGTCCAAACAGACAGTTCTTGTGTCAGATAGTATTTTCAACTCTCATTGTTTGTTTTACAATATCTCTGTAGTCATTGAGGGGTATTCATTTGTGTACCCCTCTTCCTAATTTCATGAAAGCATACATTTTTTGCAGGCTCTGTACTTTTTTGACATTCAGCAGACATGTCATTTTGTTACCCTGCTATGGTTTTCCTTAGAGGCCTGAATAATTCCAAAGGTCCTTTGTGGGACATGCTTATAGAAGAAATTTTTTCTACTGTGCTGTGCTATAATCCTTTGAGGTAGACTCCTTAGATTCTTTCCTTCTATGTTTTACATAGATACTCCTAGTGTTAACTTTAGGGCTCTTACCCTTCACTCCTCAGCACAGTCTTTGCCAGGAGGATTCTGGAATTCTACTCTGGTATTTCCAAAGCAACCTGGTTCATAGACAGGTTTTCTGTGTGTCTACCACACTCCAGAACAGTCTTAGGTGCTCTCCATTCTTGTCCTTCTACTTCTTCCTTTACCCCCTTTTTTATAGAGAGGTTCTTGGTCACTCTACCCTTCCCTACTAAAAGGGTCAGGATTAGTACTATTAAAATTTGTTTCTCTTTTTAAGTGTACCTTTTTTAGGATAACATCCTTTCTTCTCATTGATATTCCACTCCCTGAAATCAAGACTTAGGTATATTCTACTGAGTTTTAGCAGCTCCCTAATTGATCATTCATCAGGATATATCTTGTCCGTCCAAACTTTTGTTCCCTGAACAAGAGTGAGGCAAGTTAGGCTTGGCCTCCTTTTGTAGTTTTCCAAATGATGTTTTCATTATTGACCAAATCTTCTATTTTATGCTGCTATCCTTTATATCAGGCGGCTTTGAAATTTCCACTCGCCTGCTCGCCAATGGCGAGTAGAAATTATGGTGGGGGCGAGTGTATAACCCAGGGCTGAGCAGGCTCGGAGCTCAGGCCTGATCTGTCACTTGCACTGGGAACCGTCAGACTGCTCAATAGCTGAGCGCAGTGGAAGCAAAGGAAGGAGTGTGTGCTGTGCTCTCTGCCTCCCCCTAGAGTGCAGTACCCGGCTCTGTGAGTGACCAATGAAGTACTGCAACTTTTTATAGGGATGTATGTGTGTGTGTGTGCGTGTGTATGTGTGTGTGTACGTGTGTGTATGTGTGTATTTGTATGTGTGTGTGTGTGTGTGTACGTGTGTGTGTGTATGTGTGTTTGTGTGTGTCTGTGTATGCATGTACATGTGTCTATGTGTATGTACATTTGTGTATCTGTACTTGTGTCTGCGTGTATGTACATGTATGTGTGTGTGTACATGTGTGTGTGCATGTACTGTGTGTGTGTATGTACATGTGTCTGTGTATGTATGTACATGTGTATGTATGTACATGTGTCTGTACTTGTGTATTCCTGTGTATGTACATGTGTCTGTGTGCATATACATGTATGCCTGTCTGTACGTGTCTGTGTGTGTATACATGTGTCTGTATGTGTCTCTGTGCGTGTGTGTACATGTTTCTGTGTATGTATGTGTATGTACATGTCTGTGTGTGTGTACAGGTGTTCCTGTTTGTGTGTGTGTATGTACATGTGTCTGTATGTAAACCTTCATGTATGGGTGGTTTGGTCAGGTTCAAGATGATGTGGTTATTATGGGTGGTAGAGTATGGGACATTTGAGGTACTGCTGAGTTGGATAGTAGGTAGGATATGCTTGGTAGAGTTATGGTTGTGTGAGCGAAAGATTATGGGGGGTTATGGTTATATACGGTGCATGGTCAAAGTATGATGGAGTGTTTAGGGGGACGTTGGAGGCCCTAATGTAATGTGGGGGGACTCTGGGGACCCTGATGTAATGTGGGTAACATTTAACAGTGTCATTTCATGAAATCATTTATGAGGGCGTGTTTAGGGGGGAATTAGGGGTGTAGCAGGGTAAGGGTTGGGTGAGCAACTGGTGGCGAGTAACTCTTAAGGCCTGGCTAGTAGCTCAAGACTTACATTTCTACATTTGATAAATCTCTCAGTTGCTATTGATTGCCCCTCAGTTGTACTGCTTTCTGATGTCTCATTTGTCTATAGTTATCCACAATTCTTGTGTCCCTCAATGGATGGTAACATTTTTTTCTTGGAGTAAACTAGTCCTGCCTCTTTATGTTATTGGCCTGTTTGCTGATATGGCATACAGGTTGAACATTATACAGAAAATTTTATTTTCTAGCTCCCATTGACATTAATACACACCACACTACCCGCTGTTGTTTGTTTAAAGCAGGTTATGTAAGGACACTGAATGTAGAGTTAAATACAGGAAATTCAAACAGCCATTCAATGTTTATGTTGTTGATGTATTATTTTTATTTTCAAAGTCTATGAGATACACATTATTTATGTTTACAACTAGCTCTAAAGCTAACCATACACATGTTCATTTTAGGACGAGAATATTCATAAGAAAAGTCGTATGAAAAATATTTGTACATTTGATGAATGGATGAATGTCGATCAAAAATTGTTTTTTGCTTTTAACATTCGATTTTAAAATGAATGCAATTTCTAAACAATAACCACATACACTGGCCGAAAATTTGATCGAAAAGTTTTCCTTCCTTCCTGCCCCTTCAAATTTTCCCGTCACTGCTGTCAAAAATAAACATCAGTTTGACTTCACTAATGATTAGAAAATCAAATGAATATTCTTGAAACAAAAATTCTACAAAGAAAATCTGTACATGTACAGGTTAAATCAAACAAAATGCATTTTTACTTTTGTCATGACTTAAGATATGAAAGTGAAATCAGAGAAAACTGAGGGCTATTCTTGTTCATTCAGAGACTTCCCAGGTAATATTTAATGATAAATCTCCCATTTTCTCCTGGAATAGTTTGTCAAATGTTTCACTCTCTGCCACAGTCATTATGTTTTTCCAGTCTCCAACTTGACCTGAAGAGAAAGTGACACAAACCCAACTTACAATATTTATCTCATATACATTATAAAATAATTCAGGAGCCTAAAGGCTTTTACTTGAGTAAAAAAAAAATGGTTATTATTAGATTAGTTGTTATCTCAGATGACAGACATTATAAAAATTATCTGGGTCTATCCTCAGTTCATGAAGACTGGTATTCTTATTTATATTTAATACTTCTTCAGAGTTTTCTAAGTGATAGATCCATTTGATAGATGATAGTGCTAAATCTACAATTATACCCAATTACATAGGTGGTTTCATATTATAAACAGAAATTATGCATGTTCTCCATACAAATCTTATACTTTTTTTTTAGAATTTTTTTAAAGACACATTTTTAAAAATGGATCCCTATCATTTTTTGTTTCAAGCAGAATAGGCAGAAAAATGTTATCCAAATGTTTGGAGGATTGGTTGCAGAAAAGCATTTTTCAGGCTTACTGTAATGGAAAGAAACTGTTTTCAGCTTGTCTAAAATTAATGTGCATGACCTATGAAACTGAAAAACAACATATTTGTCCAGCATTTTGAATACAGAGAGCAGGGCTCTGAGGAAGAGGCAAGTCCTCGAAACGCGTCAGCCTTTTGGATGTCTACACTCCCTATTGCGGACTGTTACTCAGCGCGGTGTTGACCCAGCTGTTCTTTTATGATGTGCCTTGTCGTTTGTGAGTACAACACCTACTTTATTTTTTATTAAACATTTTTTATGGTAATGCACTAGGCCTGTTTGTTCTTTGTTCTTTCCCCATTCAGTATATTTGGATTCCCCCAGTCCATTTGAGGGCAGCAAGGTGTGCATGTTCCAGGACATTCTTAATGTGGTTGTAACCTGCATCGAGTCCATCCCCAAGCGCAGGAGCATTTGTGTTTGCTGGTTCTTTGGTAAAGTGTCATCACCTGGCAATGCGCCCACAATGACAAAGCTACCCGGCGCTTAGACTTCATGCCAGCGGTATCTTTTTGAAACTGATTAATTCTGTGCAATTCAGTACACTTTTTAAATGTTTGCCTGCTCCTAGTCCTGAGGAGATGTGCGGGAAGAAAGTGAAAGTCACCTGTCTTCCTGCTCCATGCTCAGTCAGGCTGAGGCAGCTGTAGACACGTCCCCACCACACATGCTCATGCATGAGTCTCCTCTTCTTTGTAAATCAAAGGAGAGGAGTCATGGCGACAACTTTTTTAGCAGGTGTCAGATATTTTTTACAGTATCAAAGCAGGGAAGATTACAGCTGAAGGACTGCTTTTTTTCCTGCCATGCTATGAGCACATGAGTAGCTTAGTTATATAAAATGTTCAGTTTATATTTTGTTTTTTAAGTTTACAACCACTTTAAGGCTACGTTCACACTAGCGTTGTGTGCAGGCAGCAGAGAGGCGTTTGGGAAGCGTTTTTACCGCTTCCCAAACGCCTCGGACAATTCTGCCCATTGCAGCACATGGTACTGTTCTAACGGGAGCGGTAGTGTTGTGGCACGTTGCGGTGCGGCAAAACGGATGCCTCTGGTTGAGTCCGGAGGCGTTGAAGCCTCCTATTTTTGTCTATGGTGCTGCTCCACAAACGCCTGGCCGGCGTTTTGTAGCGCGGTTGCGACGCGGTTGCAGTGCGTTTGCGGAGTGGTAACACCATTTAAACTTCATTATAGGCATTTGTGGAGCTTTTTTAACGCTCTGTAAATGCCTAGCAACTACCGCTAAACCACGCATGCGGCGTTTGCGGAGCGTTTGCCAAGCGTTAAAAAATGCTCTGCAAATGCGGACCAACGCTTGCCAAATGCTTATAGGGGCATTTGGCAAGCGTTGGTAAAACAGTCAAGTGTGAACGAGCCCTAAGTCAAACATAGCCTCACAGTGACAACATTGTCACTAGGGCAGTAAGCTAGGAGAAGAGTTCCTCAATGATTCTTCAAGCAGCAATCAAAAGTCTAAAACTGAAATTACACATTATTTTATTTCCTTCAGGAGTTCTACAGCAGTTATATTTATTTTTTCACCTTTGAAGAACCATTTTCCAAATAAGGGGGCATGAGGGAGTCGGCGTTTGAATATTTTCACCATTGAGTATGAAGATCTGTTAGGAGCCAGTGTCATCTTTTGTGGTCTTGGGTAAACAAAGCCTGCTTTACCAGAGTTTTATAGAGTTTTATTGTGGCACTACTGGCATTGACAGAATCAGTCATGTTCCCCAGACTAAGATATCCCCGGAAGAGTTCTCTGACATATCTGGTTAGGTAATGGGATGCTGCAAACACCTATATGAGCTGAAATATTAGTATACTACTCACAACTATATCAGCATATAGGATAAAGGGACCAGGCTACTTAATTGTAAATAAAGTAAGTAAAATGTAATAAGACAAAGTTAATGGCAATGCACAAATATTAATGAACAGGTAAAAGAATCTGCTTGCATGCAGTAAGCTAACTGACGTAGTTATTAGGTTATAGCTTAGCAGTTAGTCTAAATCACTAGGCAAGATTAACCTAGTAACAGCAGCACCGGTAGTGAGCAGTATAAGCAGTGAACAGTATAAACAATGCACAGTGTAAACAATGAACAGGACCAACAGTAATGAAAAGTCTCACAGTAACTCTTCTGGAATAGATGATCAACAGGTGACTCAGAATGCACTCTGTGTATATCCCCCTTAGTGTAGGTATGAATATATGTATAAGAGGGGTACCCCTGGGAAGCAGCTGTTAAGTATCTGGTGCCTGACCTGCAAATTCCAGCCTGCTAAGTGGTGGGGCCAAGTCTGTACAGAGGTGCACTTAGTTACCATCCCTTTAAGCCTGCATGAAGTGGTTTGTTTTTGGAGGACCTTGGCGAATAGGCAGTCTTTTTCCTGATCTGCTAAACAGTGGTAAAGTCAGCACATCTGCAGTAGGTCACCAGTCAGGGCACACAGCGAATCTTGTCCTGGACACTCCTCTGTCTCTGATCCTCAGGAACTCAGTCTTCAGTGGCTCTCTAGCTGTTTGGTCTCTACACACAGGTGTGTACAGCTCCAGTCCCTGCACAGCAAAGGAGTCTTTTTTCCCTATTACCCAGAGAAAAATGCTTATTCCCCCTCCTCTTAAGGGGTTTTACTTGGGAATTGTAGTCCATTGCTCCATGCACTTTCATGGTAAGGTTGCTTCCTAGCCTACATCACTCACAGTTCAGTTCAGTGTGGCCTGCAAGCGTAATTTCAGTCCCACTGGCTCCCCCGTGTTGAGAGGTGGCAGAACGGTGCTGACACCAGCATAAAATTCCTTTTTAGGCACATGGTAGCTGCAGCACAGTTTCCTTATAGTTGCTCTCTAGCTAAGCACCTGGCTACATGTAATTTTGTCAACTCAATTCCCTCCCACTGTATGGACCTACAGTATATGCCAATTTGAAAAGGACTTTGTGCTTCCAATTCCTCTCTACACTGCTGTAGGCGTTGAAGACCCTATGTTTTAAGAGGAATACTGAGCTGTGATTTCCTGCCATGCACTCCCAATGACCAGTGTCTTTATGCATAGTTATTATATGCCCCTGTTGGAGAATTCACATAATTTAGGGTTATTGACTATACCTTATAGAGTTGCCTTGACGGGCAGTATGGTTTTACAGGTGTTTGCAAATGTAGGCAACAAAAGCTTGTGTTTAACATAAAACTTTTTTTTTCCTTTTTGGTGACTAGTTAGAAAGTGTGCTGGTAAATGTTTATATTGCTCTGCTATACTTTGTTCCAAGAAGCTTTGCAATTTCATTTTCACTCACAGATGCTGCACACATTTTGTGTTGGCTTCCAAATGCTGAAACAGCTCTCACCTGCAGCTGTTGGCCATCCACTACCCTCATGCTCTCCTCCATTATTTCTGATTTTAGTAGACTACCACCTACCTTTCCAGCACCAGTGGATTTCTTCATAGCTGGTGACTGCACCTACAGCTATCTGGCAAGGTCGCACTGAATTTCACAATTTATCTATATAAAATATATATATATATATATATATATATTTAGTGTATGTGCGGTATTACTATATACCAAATAATTAAATGCTAACAACATACAATATGATAAATATTGCAGCACATTACACATCACAAAACCCCTATAGCTAATATTTTACCTTTACGCATAAATGACCCAAATCTTTTATCTATAATGTCTTCGGGCATATTTTCTTTATTTGCAAGAGGATCCTTTTTCATCTCTTTGAAAGATGCTTTTTTCACCACAATGTCCATTGCCTCATCATCTAATTTTATTCCTAAAAATGTGGAAACTTGCTTGACAACAGACCGCAGGTCCTACAAACATGAGAAAACTCATTTCACCAAAAAACAAAAATAGGAATAACTATTACTATCTGATAAAATAGTTTTGGCAGCTTTGAAAAATACGATTTGCTCAAAGTTTTGCAAAGCCCCAAAAATACTCAGCAAATCTGAAATTGTGAGTAGATTGCATTGGAGATCAACATGGAAAATACGCAAAGTTGCTGAATATAGGTTTAGACAATTCCCAAAATGACTTGTAGTTCTCAAAGGGATACAAGCACAAGTGCAGTTATCATTGCTCTCATAGTCCATTGACATTTCCTACAGCTTTATAACTAAAAATCCATACCTTGGTTTGGGCATAGAGATGGAGAACGAGTGTGCAGGAGCCTGCCATTGCACCTGCATTCCCCTGATCATGGTTTCAATGCATGGAAAACAAATTAAAAAATGCACATTTTTGTATCTGCAAATACAGTGCTCAGCATAAATGAGTTCACCCCAACAGATTTGTCAGAAAACCTTTACTTTCCTTTCAGAATCAAAATTTTCTATGAGACACTATACTACAAAATACTCCCACAAATGTGGGCCATTGATTGCAAACAAGATTTGTTAATTTGCACACACAAAGAAGTATTTTTCCTATGAAATTCATTCAAGGCCATGTTTAAAAAATGAATACACCCCAATTAAAGTCTTAGGAGCAAAGCTAAATTTTAGACAACAAAATTCTAATTAACGAGAATTCAATCACAGGTGAGTCTAATTATTCATTAAACAGGTGTCCAGCAGACAGTTGATTATAAATGGGGATTTCTTAACAAAGAAAACCCCTTCCCATTTTGTGCTGTCAGCAATGACACCACATGGAAGAGAAATGGCACCTGAGAAAAGAAAATAATTTATTTACAGGAAAGTTGAATGCTACAAGAAGATAAGCAAAAATGTACTTATCTGTCAGAATACTGTAGCAAAAGTGATACAAAAATTTAACAAAGATGGAACTGCAAACATCTCACAGAGATGTTCAGGATGTCTATGGAAGTTAAAACCTCAACAAGAGCATCTTCTGATGAGAAGGGTTGAAGAAAATCGCCATTTACACGTTTGCCAGCACTCCCCTGGTACATGAGGCACTCTATTCACACCTTCTTGTGGAACATTCTCCTGGCTCCCATCGCTATGTTTTAAAATGGGAACGCGATCTTGCTGTCCAATTGGCCCCAGAGGTATGGATTAGTGCTTGGATGGCTGTGGCCAAATGTTCTTTTAACACCACCACTATGGAGGCGGTATATAAGGTCCTTCTCAGATGGTACTGGGTCACGGCATGGATAGCCCATGTAAATCCGTCTTGTGGCGATCAATGTTTTAGAGGTTGCGGAATTCGTGGAGATGAGCTACATGTATGGTGGACGTGCCTGCGACTGATGGACCTTTTGTCCAGAGTCTATGGCCTTTTGTCGACCCTTTTTTACTCTACATTCCGTAGAGATCCCTGTCATGCGCTCCTCCATTACCCACTTCCTGGCCTTTTGTGCCTTAAGTAGAAGTTGGCCACCTATCTTTTCATAGCAACTAAAAGGGCCATTAATAGGGCCTACAAGAAACCAACTGTTGAAGTTGCGGAAGTGAAGAATATTATGACCACCTTCATGATTCATGAGAAAATGTCAAGAATCCTTAAGGATTCTCATCCTCGGTTCCTGAAAATGTGGAGCCCTTGGTGGTCTTATGCTCACCCCTCACTTCCCGAATACAGCCTGGGTTCATACCACTTTTAAGGGGGGTCCTTGCCCTCATATTCTCTTATTTCTGATTCTTTCTTCTTAACTTTTTTTTCTAACTGTACTTCTTTCCTCCTTGATCTTCAGCTATGTTATCCCCCTCCCTCCCCCACTTCCCCACAATTTACCTTTGCTGGGTATTTTACTCAGGTTCCTTTTGCTCTAGTTGGGGCACTCTTTTGTTGAAGGCTACTCTATTTATGTGTAGCTTATTGTATTGTATATCTGACAATTGGTCCCCTGCGAGGGACCTTATTTTCTAAATGTTTGTACATTGTTATTTTTTCAAACAAGAAAAAAGAGAAAAACTAATAAAAATGATTGTACCAGAAGAAAATCCCCATTTAAGTTCACTGCAGTTAGCTTAAGAAGTAGAAAGCCAAACTGGGGTGATTGTTTTCTGTGACACAATATTGTGTACACTGCAAATGAATGGCATGCATGGATGTTGTCCACAAATGAAGCCTGTCCTAAAACCCATTCATAAAAAAACCCACCTAAAATTTGCCAAAGCCCATGTTGAAAAAGAAGACTGACTGGGACTACTGTACTCTGGAGTGATGAGACCAAGATAAATGTTTTTGGAACTGATGACTTTAAAACTGTATGGTGTTGCAAAGGTGAGGTGTACAAAGAAAAATGCATGGTGCCTACTCTGAAACATGGTGGTGGTAGTGTCCTTCTGTGGGGCTGCATGAGTGCTACTGGTGTTGGGAAGCTGCATTTCATTGATGGTATCATTAATTCACAGATGTATTGAAAGAGAAGATGCTACCATCACTCCATGTCCTTGGTCGTCGTGCACTTTTCCAACATGACAATGATCCAAAACACACATCTAAGACCACTGTTGCATTTCTGAAAAAGAACAGGGTGAAAGTGAATCAGTGGCAAAGTACTGTATGTCTCCTGATCTGAACCCCATCAAACACCCATGGGGAATTATGAATAGACAAGCTGAGCATCACTCTCTATCCAGCATCCAGGCTCTAAAAGAGGACGTTCTTGAAGAATGGAAAAATATAGATGTTGCAATATGTCGCCAACTTGTTCATTCCATGCCTGTAAGACTTGGCGCTGTCCTTACAAATCATAGAGGTCATACAAAATACTAGATATAGTAGTTTTTGTTGTGAGGTGTATTCATTTTTGCATCAACTAATTTGAGTAAAACTGAAGATTTTGTAATCTAAAGTATATTATTAACCTTACTTTCATGTAATGAGCTAAACAAATGTTCTATAAATCTCAGTTTTGTCAAAATTTTGAAAATTGTTCTTGTGTTCATTGAGATATTGATTAAAATATTACTTTTCAAAAGGAGTGTACTCATTTATGCTGAGCACTGTATTTGCACTATTTATTTATTTTGAAACCAGTGGAATTAGCCTTTAATAAACATTTTTGGGTTGAAGATACGTGAACACTGGTTGAGCAAACAAGGCAATGTTCCTCACCACTGCAATTGACAGAGGTAGACCAAAATTTGATAACTGATCCTCATCTATCCCTATGAGTTTGTGGGGTTTCCATATAATTTCTCTACAGCAACTTTGTTACAATTACCTTTTGGCTGCAATTTGTATGGTTTATATGCAAGTTGCAGTATCCACTCTGAATTTCACTATTTGAAGAGAAATGTCCACAGCACAATCTTATAAACATTCATTCATGATTACTGTGCCTAGATTATCTATCTAATTATTTAATTATCTAAAAATCCTCTTTAAACATTTGTTTTCATATGTTAGTATTAAAACTCAGAGCCTTTACCTTTATCATGTCTTCATATTTTAAGAAAAGGATATTGTATGCATCCTTATGATTGTACCATCCTCGTATATGATCAAACCATTTGCCTGCAAAAACTGTGAAAACAACAAATCACAATAGGAAGAGCCTAGAAAAATGCAGGTAGACTGTTGGAAAAGGGAAAGCTATATTTTGATTTCACTTTTTACTTCATTTAAATTTCTTTGAATTTCACTTCAAGATTTCAGCAGTTAATTTAAAACAGAAGTATTTCCAAAGATGTTTTGGTCATACTTCTTTTCTGGGTCACAGGAGTGCAATTAGTGTTGCATTCCCATGACCCAGAATCAGTTGACAGCAGACTTTAGCCATGCCACAGAGCCGGATCAAGTTCTGGAAGGATCCTGCGCTGCTGGGAGCCTAAGCCAGCTGCTCCTGCCCACTCCCCATCCCAGTGCTTCAGTGAGTGAGTCAGAAGTCATGTGATTGCTCAGTTCTCGGGCATAGAGCAAGCAGGGAATAGCTGCAGCATCACAGAAATGCTGCAGCCATAGAGATGAGTTTGTAAGTTTGTTTTTTTTTATTCCCACACTTCTTTAGCAATCAAATTGTAGTAGTGGTTAAAGTGAAATATAGAATAAAAACATAATAGTTAAAATAGTTTTCAAAGCAAAATTTTTTTTTCTTAATGCATTCCCTGCATTAACATTTCAATGCATGTGCACTCCCAAAAAACCCTAAACACTTACCGTGAGTCCACTCACGCTCTCCAGCAATATTCCGGCTGCATCACCACTGCTCTTTCTTCCTGGTCTCACAGGAGACTCTGAGAGGAGTGGGAGCCATAGTCGGAGGGGGGGTGTAGCCATGCCCCCTCTATGCCCAGCTCAGGGGCATGCCCCCATAGCACAAAACCTGCTAGGAAGAAGTGGACAGCACTGGCAGGGGACTCCATAACAATAGGTAAGAAGCTCTTTGTGCAATATCATTGCACCGAGCAGGTACAGTAAGTATAAAAATCTTTAAATAAAAAGAAAACTTTTAAAGTGTTACTACACCCACAATAGTAAAGTCAGTTTATATATGCAGTAAATCAAGTGGAACCTAACGGGTAAATCCTCCATATTATGTAAAAATGCTGTTTGATCCTGTCTTCGCTGATGCTCCCCCTCTTCTACTGTCCCCAATCCATTTGCTGATAATACAGAGCCCTAGGAGACACTCTGCACATGCTCAGTTTGGTGCGTATTGCTGGAGAGTCTTTTTTTTTCTTTGGGAGGGTGCATGTGATAAGCACAGGCTAATCAGAACAGTTCAGACAGAGGGTCAGGGGTCATGCAGCCTCATAGGACAGTCAGAGGAGAGTGAAAACTCCTCCTGCAAGTTTTACTTTATTAAGTTTATAGACTGCTATATACTGCTGATGAGAAAAGATATTTAGCAGTTTTTTTTTTACTAAAATAATTGCATTTCTAAGTTCAGTGTACTGTAGGAGACTGGATATAGTGAATGCAGGGCTTAGTAACACTTTAATATCACTTTAAACATAGTGATTAATATATTGAGTTAAATGTATTTTCTATAAGTAGCTGTGAGAGCAAAGAGGGCTTGTTGTATGGAACCTGCTGTGCATTCCTAAGAGTGCATTGATAAATACTGTCAAGAATGCAGGTAAGAGTGCCAGTGTCTGGTCAGACAGGCTGGATGCATGCAAAAGGAGGTGTGTTAGGAGAAGATGTGCTACTGTTAATCTATGTGCATTTGAACTGTACAGGGCTGTGTATAGTGAACCTGGAAAAGGCAATGAAAAAGTTAAAAGGCCCCTAGTTCAAAAGTGATGTGAAATGATGAAGAAATCTCAAGAAATACGAAGATGGTTCTCTTATAGGGAGAACTGTGCAATTATTTTAAATGCTGTGGAAGTCTAGCCAAAAATCTACATTTACAAGCCCATAAGTCCTGAAATAAATGTTTTGTAGAACCTATTGGTTACATCAAATGCATTCACACAGCATGTGACTACCTGATTATTGCAAACAATGTGCTCATCATAGGAAAATAATGTTTTTTTTTTTATGTATGGATAGACAACCAAGACAGAGAAAAGCTTGTGATAATTCAGTAAGATTTTACTCTGTAATTTCAACCATCCTTCATTCCTAAATAAAGTCAATGTATTATTAGAATTTTATTTTACCTGAATGCAAATTAATATTTCAATCTATGGTTCAAAAAAGACAGCTTTTGTAAACTGTCTGTAAACAACGGTGTTAAAGAAAGTAAAACATTGTTTATTTCCTTAAACTTGTTACTGGCTTTTCTATGTTGCAAATACCCAACCAATATCAGGTGATCTGAAAAAAATATAAACATTTATTGTAAGCCCAAATGCGTACTGGAAACAAACCAAGGCTTCTGCAAATCTTGTGACAACTAATCTTTTACTAAATCAGCAATAACATTAACACTTAAAACACGCAGTATAATTACCTTCTCCATCCAAAAATTTCTCATAAAAGTGATGGAAATCTGGTGACTTCTCTGTTACAACAGAGATGTCTTCAAAATGATAAAATGAATTCATAACATCCTTTGGATTCCTCATCACATAGATAACCTGAAATAAGAGATAAACCATACATTACTTAGAGATGTATTTATGGATGTCTAACAGTTTCATAAAATGGCCAGCATACCCTTTCTTAATTTTGTAATTGGTGTGGTTTGTTGACATTTCTTACAGGCTAAAAGAAAAAAGTGAAGTTATAGAGTTTCTGTGAATTATTTTTGCAAGGTATTATTTTACTTGATTAAAACCAACACAGTCTCTTCCTCTGAAATTGCATCCTACTAAAGTTGCTTACATAGTATGTAATAAAATTGTTCTAAACGCTGAAGTTTTTTTTTTACCTTCATGCATTCTATACATGAAGGTAAAAAACATTTACTGTGTAGCTCCCCCCTCAGCGCCCCCCCCCCCCCTTATACTCACCTGAGCCTGATGTGCATGAGAGAAGAAGCTCTCCTGTGCTTCTTTCTCCTCATTGGCTGAGACAAAGCAGTGGAATCAATTGGCCTCCACTGCTATCAATCACAGCCAGTGAGGAAGGAGCAGGTTCCCATAGACACACAGAGGTGGCTCAGGAGCAAACAGGCATGGGTGCCCCCAGAGCAAGCTGCTTTCTCTGGGAGCACTCAACAGGGGGAGGGGCCTGGAGCACTGGTGGGGGATCCAAAAAGAAGAAGATCGGGGTTGCTCTTTGCAAAACTATTGCACAGAGCAGGTAAGTATGACATATTTGTCATTTTTTTTTTTAACCTGTACCTTTACAATCACTTTAAGTCTGTGCAAATATTCTTGTTTTTTTTGTTGTGAAATAATACACTCTTATTTTAATTGCTTGAATAAATCCTGCCTAGGCTCTCCATCTTAAACTGCAGACTAGTAAAGCTGCTTAAAAAATGTGAATGGAGTCTGTGCAATATTTCTGGCTATTGTCTCCTTGAAATAATACATTCTATTTTTTTACACCTGCCCGTTCTCTCCTTTTTATATTGTGGCCTATTAATGCTGCTTTTGTAGTGTACAAGATTTCTGGCTACTGTTTGTGAAATATCACACTTTAATTTTTAGTTCTTCATAAAAAACGTGCCTTGCCTGTCCCTCTTAAAGTTGCTTCATAGGGGAAGAGTCTATGTATAAAAAATTTTCATTGCGAATATCTCAGCATTCATGCAAACATCACATATGATACCCTTAATTCTTGTAATATATGTGACATGTCAATTTCTATTTATTGACTTTTTGGCAGGGTGAATGTACCATTCCCAGACATTGTCAGAAAAGCCCAGGGATGCTTTTAACACTAAATGGATAAGCTGTTTTCAGTCAGAGAACCATGCGCAGATAATGCTAAGAGAATGCCTTTGTGAGGCCTTTTTCTGTACTGGCAGTCTTATCTTGCAAGAAACCCATTGCTCAAATGTTTGCATAGGTATAATGTACTGCTTAGGCCTAGGATTTTTGAAAAGGTAGTGCTCAGGTTGTATTGCCATTTCTGCCTGTGTTATCTTCAACACGATAAGGACGGCCTTATAAAGAAATACCAAAATTAAAATTTAGAAAAAATAGAAATTTAATAAAAGGTATGGGTCTGTAAGGGTCTGGTTTATTAGCATCTTTACCCAGCTTGGGAACTAATTTTATGGTAGCATTGTACATAGAAAAGGAATTGGTTGGTGTTGAATTCTTTGTGTCAGCCATCTGAATGGCCATTGCACCAAAAAGGTAGAGGCTTTTTGGCTTAGGCATTGATATGTCACAGAGCTATAGCTGTTTCTGGAATCATGCTCCTGTTACAGGAGTCTTGCAGAAGGTTTTAGCACGATAAGCCAATCGTGGTAGAACAATGAACTTCTGAGGACTGACACAGAATAAAATTGGTCAAAGCCATCAGATCTGATTTCTCATGCTAAAGGGCCAGAAAGTCACAATAGTCAATACAAAAAGAGTACTGAAACCAATATAAACAGGCCTACAAACAGCTGAAATGGAGCCTGCCTCACACCTGTGTTCTGGCTTATGCTCATCCTGCTCAGCCCTACAAAGTGTTCATTGGTGCCTTTAGAGAGGGACTTGGTGAAATGTGGCAACAAGAGCATGACCTGTGAGTTGGAGCCTCACCCACACCCGGAAGAATTACCACACTCACAAGCTAGAGTTTATTGTTCTGTAGTGGGCAGCAGCAGGCAAACTATAATACTACTTCTATGGAGCAGACTTAAAGGTCAAGACTGAAAACTCTTCACTCACATACAGTTGTGTTCAAAATAATAGCAGTCAGACATCACTAACCTGATCAATCACTCTTTTTGGTAGAAATGATATTTCTACATGGCAAATAATTTACTAGCAGGTGTAGTAGAGTAATAGAAATCCAACAGACCCAACAGTCATGACATGCATGCTGCTGATTCTGTGTAATTGAATCACTCATTGAAAGGGGCATGTTCAAAATAATAGCAGTGTGGAGTTCTATTAGTGAGGTCATTCATTCTTTGAAAAACAGGTGGCAATTATTGCCCTTATTTAAGGAAGGAAGGCAGCAAATGTTGTACATGCTGGTTACAGTGCATTTTTCTCTGAAATTCTGAGGAAAATGGGTCGTTCCAGACATTTTTCAGAAAAACAGCGTACCTTGATTAAAAAGTTGATTGGAGAGGGGAAAACATATACAGAAGTGCAGAAAATGATAGGCTGCTCAGCTAAAATGATCGCAAATGCTTTAAAATGGCAACCAAAACCTGAAAGACATGGAAGAAAGCGGAAAACTACCATTCAAATGGATAGAAGAATAGCCAAAATGGCAAGGACTCAGCCAACAATTAGCTCCAGGAAGATCAAGGAAGGTCTAAAGTTACCTGTGAGTACTGTTACAATTAGAAGACGCCTATGTGAAGCCAAGCTATCTGCAAGAAGCCTCCGCAAAGTCCCACTGTTGAAAAACAGACATGTGCTGAAGAGGTTACAATTTGCCAAAGAGCAAAATGACTGGCCTAAAGAGAAATGGCGCAGCATTTTGTGGACTGATGAAAGTAAGATTGTTCTTTTTGGGTCTAGTGGCCGGAGACAGTTTGTCAGACGACCCCCAAACACTGAATTCAAGCCACAGTACACTGTGAAGACAGTGAAGCATGGTTGCGCAAGCATCATGATATGGGGGTGTTTCTCATACTACGGTGTTGGACCTATTTATCGTATACCAGGGATCATGGATCAGTTTGAATACATCAGAATACTTGAAGAAGTCATGCTGCCTTATGCTGAAGAGGAAATGCCCTTGAAATGGGTGTTCCAACAAGACAACGACCCCAAACACACCAGTAAACGTGCAACATCTTGGTTCCAGACCAACAAGATTGACATTATGGAGTGGCCAGCCCAATCCCCGGATTTTAATCCAATAGAAAACTTGTGGGGTGACATCAAAAATGCAGTTTCCAAAGCAAAACCAAGAAATAGAGAAGAACTGTGGAATGTAGACCAATCATCCTGGGCTGGAATACCTGTTCACAGGTGCCAGAAGTTGGTTGACTCCATGCAACACAGATGTACAGCAGTTCTCAGAAACAGTGGTTATACAACTAAATATTAATTAAGTGATTCAAAGGAAAGCAAAATCTTCAAACATTTTCAGTTTATGTAGTGAATGTTTGAGTTTGTAAAGAAGAATACAAACACTGCTATTTTTTTGAACAGTCTAATATTCACTTTTCTTCAATTTTTTTTAGAGGAACAACACAAATTTGATATATTTTTCTTCATGTTTTGATTTAAAATAGAATGTGTAGTGTTCCCAATGCATTTGTGTGTATGGAAATAAAAGCTATTAGAAGGATTTTGAGCTTTATTCACTTTTTTTAACACACTGCTATTATTTTGAACACAACTGTACTCCTCACCACAGCTAACTTAGATGCCATGAAGCATCAGTGGCTAGCTGCTCCGTCTGGATATTGCTTCAGTCTGAAATATCGACCAGGATTTAACAATAGGAATGCTGATGTCCTATCCAGGAGACCCCTCAAAGCTGAAGCCTATGTCAGAGAGAGAGCTATTTAAGACAGGGGAGTGACAGGGGTTGAAGCCATTGGGGTTACTAATGTAGGTGTTCATATACTCTACTGCAATCTGACCCATGTGAGAAACAGGGGTGTGCCCACTTTTAGTAAAAAAGACCTAAGAAAAGACCAAGCAGAAGATCTCCTCAGCTATCTAACTTTGGAAGCACTTAAAATTCACCAGAAAGAGCTTCTAACATAATCTCTTGAGGGGGCCAATCAGATTCACCTAGAATGGAATTGACTGCAACTCAGCAATGGGCTGATTTACAGAAAGGTCGCACTGATGGTTTTGAGGAAAGGTGGTACTAATGGCTTTTCATGATGGACACGAAAACCTAGGACCGGAGAGGACTTTCAACAGTTTTACTGGCCTTGCATGAACTGAATGAATGAAGATGAATATAGATTTGCTGCCACTCATGTTTGCGGTGTATACAATAAAAGGCTGTACCATCAAGAGTTGCTCCTATGGGCCACCTGCAGAATCAAAGTCCCATAGAGTCGGTGTGCATTTATTTCCCATGCTTGGAACCTAAAACAAGTGAACAAGGGAACATTCTGGTGGTGACCGACCACTTTCTCTGATATGCACAAGCTTTTTTCTCAAATTAACAGAGCGCTTCTATTCTAGGCAAAGGTTGGGTGGAATAATTCTTCATTACGGTCTACCCCAAAAGATTCACTCAGACTGAGGCAGAGACTTTGAGAGCGATCTCATCAAAGAGTTATTAAACATGCTGGTGTTAAAGGCATCACAAAGTTTAACTGCACCCTTCTTAATATGTTGCAGGTGCTGACGTCTGAAAATAAACAACACAGGATTAGGCACATATCTGCAGTGCTCCATGCCCACATTAGTACAAAGCATGATGTAATAGGGTATACATGCTTGTGTTCAGGAAAGAAGCTTAATAGATTAGCACAACAGTGCATAGAGAACTTCATGCAATGGGTTTCCATGGCCGAGCAGCTACATTCAAACCTTACATTGCT